CTGCAATGCATGCACCCTTACATGTGCAGCTTTCTGGTATTTTCATGTGCCTGGGAGATGTGCGGGCATGGGGGCCCATGTGCCCCATGCCATTTGAGTGCCCGGCGGCGGCGCTGCCTGCCGCCGGGAGCCCGCACCAGCATCGGCACCCGTCGGCCTGGCAGGCCTAAGCTGCTAAGGATCCCCACGTCCCCCACCACGTTGTGGGGGTTGCGTGTCCGGCAGGACGGGGAGCGGGGCCAGGGTGGGGTGACCCTGGGACGCTCAGCTGGGGGGAGGGTGGTCGGAGCCATGGAGAGGGTGCTCCATGGTCCACCCCCTCTCTTGATGCCCCTTGATCACGTGTGCCCCCTGCCCAAGGTCTGCTCACGCGGCCTATCATAGCGGGGTGACTGTAACACAGACAGACTGCAGCACTTTTGCTCTCCAACCCATTTGGTGCGTGCGTTGGGGTTGTCGAACAAGCAAAGCACACCGATTGTGCATACACCAGTGTAGCTCTCCGCGGCTAAGAAAGGCCTTCTTTGAAGGCGCTGGAGCTAGTGTCTAAACCCTCCGAGAGGGCACAGGTTCGATTCCTCCCATGTCGAAACTTTGTGAGGACAAACGCGGCATAGCTGACCGGCTCAGCGCCAATCCAAGCCAATTCCTTCGGGAACGCCTAATAGAATCGCCAAGGCTTCGGCACAGGCCTCCCCGGGACCCATTCACTACTAGTGGGGGGTACTGCACTTGGCGCGTCGGGCAGATCAAATAATGGTCTAAAGCTAGACGTTAAAACCGGGAAGTTAAGCCTGTGGAGGCTCTTCCCCACCTTTACCTTTACCTTTAGCTGTTGCCGGCAACACTACTTCCGTCACTCACACACAATGTGAGCGCGTCAGCAGCACTTCCACAAAAGAGCAAAACTCCAGAGACGGCAAGGTGGGTGAGTTTCTCGGGGTGTCTCACGTTGGATGCCCCCAACTAATACTCATGTGCATGTTGTAGTTGATCTCCCTTCTGATATATAACAATGAGGAGGACTTGCTGCACGCCAGATTCCTGGAGACATATGATGTCGTGGGTAATTCCCAATAGCGATTCCCCAAAGCTGCATGCGTCACTCACCATGTGCATCACACAATGCTTGCAGACATGTTTGTCATCATAGAGGCGCCATTCACCTTCCGTGGGGACCCCAAACCATTGCACTTCCGAGATGCTATGTGTCGCCGTTTTGCTTCATTTGCCGGCAAGATAGTGCACATTGTGATCGAGCAAGATATGACAGACCCGGACTTGGAGGATGCGGCATGGCATCGCGAGTTTCAAAGCAGGGTGAGCCATTTCAGCTCAAAACCGGCAACCATGCGTAGTTGCAACGAATCGTCTCTGGTACGCTGCAGCTAGCATTCCACCAAGTGGCAGACAGGCTCGATGTCCAGCCCGATGACATCATTTTTCAGAGCGACACCGACGAGCTGCCTAACGCAGCAGCTCTCCTGACCGCCAGAAACATCCTAGAAAATGGGTTGCCTGCAGACGGCGTGGCCATCCCCGTGGTCGATCTGCGCATGCAAGCGTATTCTTTCTCATTGTCCCATATGGTAGTGGGACCGGTGCGTATTACAATGCCCACCCAGATGGCATCTTGACCATTTACTTACTTTGCAAAGCTTGTTTCCTCTTGCAGGATCGCAGGAAAGACGGATACCCGTGTTGCAAAGTTTTACATGATCGCGCAAAGCTGTTTCGATACTCTGCCAGGCAGACTTGTACATTTCAAAGTATTCGTTCTGAGTACAAGACGGACAGTTGTCTGGATGCAAAGGTGGGAGATACACAGCCGTAGTAGGTGTTCTGCAGTGGTGAGCAGTGCCACGTTGTGCAAACATTACATATGCATGTCATCTTGCAGAACTTGGTAGAAATCGATGACGCCGGCATCCACGCAACTTACTTCCTATCTCCAGATAACGTCATGTTGAAACTCCACTCCTATGCACACACGGAATTTGACAGGTGGTATGCGGCAGCACCAATGAAGGTTGATTTTGGGAAGCTTGGCCTCAGACAATTTCTGGCCGCTCTCTTTTCAGGCCGGTCAACGTGACCCAGATGGTGGAGGAGGAATGGGATCCTCAAGGCTGGTGGATGCAACGGGCCGATCCGGCCACAGATATCAACTTGTTGAGATTCAAACCGGCGACGCGGGCATTGCTCTTGCCGCATACTGCTGAACTCGATCGGCTGCAGCGCGGGCACCGTTAACACAATTGCAAACAAGTCCCCCGCACCCCGTCACATTTTATCCCCCTCTCTCCTTTCGTCTTGCTTTCGTCTTGCATAAGTCGCTCCTCTCAGTTACGCACCCGGTGGGCCTGAGCATTCACTTCCCATATTGAGTGTAACCAATCAGTTTCAAAAGTTTGGTGGTTTATGCAGCCATTGCTCCAATCCAGCAGCCACGGGCACTAAACCCCTGCCCGGCAGTCGTGGGCGGCCCAGCCCGGCAGGTGCTCGGCCATTCTTTGCCCAGGCCAGGCTACCTGGTGCGCACTCCATGTGCGCAGCCTCTGTTTCTGGCAGCCTCCATTGCAGGGGATGGCAGGAAGCAACGCCACTTGACGCGGCTTCTCGCACATAGCACGCAGCATCAACCGATCGAGCCCAGCACTGTCAGGTGAAGGTGTTAGGTGTTACAGTCACCCCGCTATGATAGGCCGCGTGAGCAGACCTTGGGCAGGGGGCACACGTGATCAAGGGGCATCAAGAGAGGGGGTGGACCATGGAGCACCCTCTCCATGGCTCCGACCACCCTCCCCCCAGCTGAGCGTCCCAGGGTCACCCCACCCTGGCCCCGCTCCCCGTCCTGCCGGACACACAACCCCCACAACGTGGTGGGGGACGTGGGGATCCTTAGCAGCTTAGGCCTGCCAGGCCGACGGGTGCCGATGCTGGTGCGGGCTCCCGGCGGCAGGCAGCGCCGCCGCCGGGCACTCAAATGGCATGGGGCACATGGGCCCCCATGCCCGCACATCTCCCAGGCACATGAAAATACCAGAAGGCTGCACATGTAAGGGTGCATGCATTGCAGGCAGGAGTGCAAAGTGGCCTGCCGCGGCGGTCGGCTGTGCCATTACTCAATCAGCCGCCGCTACTGTGCCGGGCTTGGCGTTCCCATGCCAGCATGCCGGCGTACCATCGCGCAATGGCCAGTGAGTGTGTGAGGTGGTGGTGGGGGTGGTGGGGGTGCCGCTGACCGCTGCTTGCTGACGCTGACGCTGCTCTTACCTGCGGGGGGAGGGGGTGGGTCGGGAGCCAAGGCCGGGCAAAAGATGCCTGGGCCCTACTCAAGGGAACCGGGGGAGTCACTGTGCCAGGGCAGCAGCATGCTCCTCATGGCACCGGTCGGCAAACCGGGCCAGCCGGCCCTGCCTGGCCTGGCCGAGGAAGGCGGCCAGGGAGGGCAAGGCGTGGCCGGGACTGTGGAAGAGCTCAGCATACTCCTCCCTCAGCCCAGCGTATAGGGGGCAGTCATACACTGCGTGGCGTACGTCCTCTAGAGGGGCCTGGCAGTGGGGGCATGGGCGCTGGGTGCGGTCCAGCCGCTGCCACCGGCCTGTCTCCTCAGCCATCCAGTGCGACCCCGTGCGCCACTGCGCCAGGCGCACCCGGCGCCGGCGCTCGGGCACATCGCACAGGAACGACGCAGGCGTGTAGGCCTCCGCAGAGATGCTGCCCCCCCAGACGTCCTCAATGTACCGCTGCACCTTCACGGATGCATGCGTGTACGAGGCAACATGGCGCTCCAGGAGCGCTTCCGCCAATTCAGGTATGGCAACCCCCTCGTCAGCAGTCAAGTCGCAGGGGGCGCCGGCCGCCGCGAGAACGCGGCTAACCTGCGCTGCCCAGGGCTGCCGGGCCAGTGGCAGCCCTGTGTCCGTGTCGGCAGCCAGCGCAACGCTATCCAGCATGGCAAGACGGGCGACCCGCTCGCCGCCCATAGCCTGCAGGTTGCTCACAAAGCGTGCAACCTGCAAGGTCCAGTAGGCGGGCAGCGGCAGCTGCCCCGTCTCTGCCAGCACAGTGAGGGCTGGGGTGCTGTCCCGCACACCCAGCAGCCCTCGCAGGTACTCCAGCTGTACCCGCTCGCATGCCGTCCTGCCCTGCAGAATCAGCTGCGGAGCCCAGATCTCTGCCCCGTACGACAACGTCGGCAGGACAAATTTGTGGACTTTTAAAAGACTTGAACGCACGCATGCTGAGCAGGGGGTCCTGCAACCCATTCTCGGCCAGGCGGCGACGCAGCAGGTGCATCGCGCGCCACCCAGCCTCCGCCCGATACGATGCCGCCGAGGCAAAGGCCTGCCGGCAGTGCAGGTGCACGTCCTAAGCCGCCAGCACATTGCCTAGCCCCGCCCAGGAACGCAGCGGTGCACATGACCGCTCCCAGTGTGGCAATACTCAATCGCCACATATTTCTCTATGTCGGTGGCGAAAGGAGTGCAAACGATATTATTGCAAACGATATTATCCGTAAGACATGCGTATTCATTGTTTCTTGGAATGTGTGAACTTGTGTTTCTTCCTGGGAGCAGATTGTTGATGGCGACATCTCAAGCGTCATGCTCTTTCATCTGCCTTGGCACAATGGCCCACCCAAAGCACAACCATGGCATGTTGCTGCTCCTGGCAGCGACGGCGGCCATCATTTTTGTGTTTCAGACTTCACCGGCAACGCTCGCCTCACCCTCTCACATCTTCAACGACGGTATCGGACAGCATTGCTGTGCAGAAGTGAATATGCCGTATGGCTCATTGGTGCTTTCGAAATGAAATGCAGTTCTGGGCCACCAATGCAGCCGCAGCGGCGGCCGTGGCAGCTACACCACTGTGCCACCGATCCCATCGGACGAGATTCCACCGGGCTGTACGCATCTGAGGAGTGTTTGCGTCGACCAGCAACAGGTGGTGCTCATGGATCCGCGGTATCATCCCGAATCGCGGGAGTTTTGGCCACTGCCCACCCATTCGCCCGAAATGTACTACACACGATACACATCCCGGAATTCGTCTGGGAACGGCGATATATGGGTCAGTTAGTCAGTCAGTCCAGCGCGACATGAATGCCGCAACTGCCGAACCTCCATCACATGTTGACGGACTGCGTGCAGGAGGAGAAGGCAGGCACACTCCCGCCCTTGATGTTTCGAGTGGCAGGCGGCCTGGAGCCCACGCCCGACCTGCGGCATCCGCAGTTTGAACGCGGCCTGGTGCCATTGCTGTTCTCTCCAGAATGGGCCATTAACTTCAGTGGGTGCTGCTGCTGCTTGTCCACATGTGGAACGTGTGGAGTGCATCTTCCACATGCGTACGATGGTGTGTGTGCAGGCCATACTTTTGGAAACAGTGCAACGTGGCTATTTGCTCACTTGTTCAACCGGAATCTAACCTGGTCAGATCGCGTAGCTCTTGTTGTGCGCACAGAATACGGCCTGGCCCTCCCAAAATTCTGGCAGTCGCTGGTGGGCCCGCTGGCCCAGGCCTGTCCGGTTCAAACACTGGCAGAGTGAGTAAAGAGGAAACAACCCCTGCTAGTTACTATGTGGCTGGCTACCCTCAACTCTTAATCTGCATGTGCAGCTTCAGTTCGAGGCACGATGCTGCACTGGGCAGCCAATGCAGTGCCCGATGCTATGATCAAATGCTGGTGTGCGCGGGTAGCAGATCGGAGGAATCGATCAATGTGCTACAGACAGCGAGTCACATAGTGCAGCACTACAATGCATGCATCCCCAGTGCCTTAGTGAAGTACCGCAACGCCCCACCCCTCACTTCGTCTGGAAGAGCATTACGAGTACTCTTCTTCAGTCGCCCTGCAAAGCCAGCAGTTCGTCAGGTGAGACTGACCCAGCTCCAAAAACAAACAACAGTTCGCCATCTTTTGATTCAATAACCTAGCTTGAATCACATGTGCAGATCATCAACATGGATGCACTGCTCGAGGAATGTCGGCGCTGGACGTACACGGAGCCTGAGACAGGCCTTATCTACACTGCGGCCTGCGCAAAATGGCAGTTGAATGACGATTTGCTGTCTAACATTGCAGGTAAGTTTGGGTTGAGGGGTACGCCATGGTATTGCTAGCGCAGCTGGATCCCCAAGGCATGTGGCTTGGCTCCTTCATGTAGCCGTGAGGGGCGCTGACCTCCTCATCGGCAGGCATGGCGCTGGTATGACCAACGCCTACTTTATGCGTCATGGAGGGGCCAGTGAGTAACCACGCCAGAACAGCCAGAAATTCCTGCCCTGAGCTGTCATTGGCGGTAGAGAGTTTGCAGGTCCAGATGTCACTCACCCCGTCCTAATTTTTGTAGTGATTGAGATTTACAGTTCTGGGTTCACATACGAGTTGTTTCGAAAGTGGTTGGAGCAAGAGAGCGAGCAGACAATTCAGTACTGGGCCCTGACGGTCGAGGTGCGCTGGGGATGGGGGGGGGGGGGGGGGGG